CGACCACACCCCCGTCGGGCCCACCCACCAAGAAGCACGGACGCTTCCCGGGGCCCACGTAATCGAGCCTTGCCGCGAGGGTCGGATAGTGCCCCAGCGTCCTCTTCAGCCCATCGATAATCGCAGAATTCGTCGGAGTCGGAGGTCTAAAGCCGAAGAGGACGGACACATGGTAACGGGGAGCATAGCAATCGAAAACAGTCAACGGCAGCTCGACGGGGTCGGCCCTAGGGTTTGGTTGGGGGATAACGGTAGATCTCTCAACTTTGATATCCATAGTGTTTTTGTCGCAAGTGATAGGTTCATATAGTGCATATATAGAGCGAAGAGGACCGATTGCATGTATAACACGTAGATTGTATCAGTCAAGTACCAACAATTTGTTGACTATTTACAGGGACCGTCGTGTGCATAGATGGCCACAATGGCTCTTGTTTGTTTCAGAGGTTGTTTTGCAGTGAGAGAATGATGATAGAGGCACACAAAGGAAGTGAGGAGTTCGGTTGAGATGAGTCTAGGTTTGGTTCTCTTGGATGAGTGCTCATGAACTTTGCATGGGCGATAAAATCTACTAGGAAGATGAACTTAGTTAAAGTTTTGGGGTTTTCTTTGCCATGTTAGTCCGTCATATCTTTCATAGTTTCAAATTAGTCCCTCAAATGATTAAAATTGCTCTTAATTAGGTCCCCAAATTCTTAAAAGTTGTTCCAAAAACTACTCCCTCTCAAATTATTGAACTTGCTATTAGATCCCCCAATTCTTATAAGGTTGTTGCACGTGCGCATATGCACAATCTTTTGCTGTGTCAAAGATTTTGTGCAGTGAGAGAGTGATGATGTTGTCACACAAATGCGGTGTGGAGTTAAGTTGAGATGAGCATAACTTTGCTTCTTTGGATGAGATCATGAGACTGAAGCGAGGCTACTTTGGATAAGTACACTAGAAGTTGAACTTAGTTGAAGGCCCTAGAGATTTGAGAGTAGCAAGATGTCAAAGTTTCATGTATTTATAGGGAAAAGGCTGACGTTAAAGTGGGACTGAATTATGTAGGTCTTACGTTTAAGATTTGACTACCAAGTCTACCATCATCGAAAAAGTCAGAGATTGTTAATCATGAACCGACTTATATTTGAGATTTGACTTAGACATTTGTTTGAAAAAATAAATATATTAAAAACCCTCATAACTTTTGACGATTATCAGAAAAAACCCTTTAACTTGCAAAATATCAAAAAATAATCCCTTAAGTTTAGGGGTTATCGGAGAACCGCTTTTAACTGTAAGATTTTATCAGAAAACACCCCCAATTTGAGGTTTTCTGAGAAAATCTCAAAATTAAGGTGATTTTTCGATAAAATCTAAAAGTTAAAAAGAGGCTTTTTGTGAGAATCACAATACTTAATTAACGGGGTCCCATGATGTTTTGGAGTTTGGGTGGGTGGGTGGGTGGGGGGCCCAACTTACACCATGAAGTCTAATATAACCCTCAAAAATATCACCATGAAGTCTAATGTGTAAATGAAAAACGCGTGACTAAGAAAGATCAAAATACTCTATACAACCGTAAACGATCCTCTAGCTCTTTTGCAGGATGAGAGAAAGAGAGAAGAAAGAGAAAAATATTGTAAATGGGATGCTTCTTCACAGGTTTGTTAAAAAAAAAATTAAAAAGATCAGGAGTGTTCGTAAGACACCACGTAATTGAGAAGCCTCAGTCAAATTTTAGAAGTCGAGAGTGGTTGTTTTACAACACCCTTAACATTAAAATGGAAAAATGAAGGGTTTAAAATAGTTGAGAGGGGAACATAGAATATTGTGGCGGAGTCCAGGTGACAATCGAAGGATTGTGATGAGGGCTTATGGCGGAAAAAACCCTAGCGATCGGAGGTATCGAATTTGTTCTTCTTTTTGTTTGATTTCTTTGGATCTTGGTGTGATTCGCTGGTTTTGATCGATTCTTCCTTTCGGTTTAAGAATTTTAAGTGAATTTTGTTGAATTCATTTCATTTTTTAAATAAAAAAGAGAAAAAAAGAAAAAAAAAAAAAGAGGAAAATATGGTGAATTTGAGGATTACTTCGAAGGATTTGATTGGGCCAATTGAAACAACAAATTTTGTGGCTCAAAAAATTTGGGGTGAAAGCTTTCCATCTTTAATTTCTGGTTCTTTTTTTGCCTCAAAGCCCAATCCAAAGCCCAAGCCTGCGGAATATAATGAAACTAGGGTTAACATTGGGGTTGGGTTAGGGTTAAATCCAATGGTGGGAAGAGATTCATCGTGTAGATCTCAAGAAGAGTTAAAGGCGAATATAGATAAAGGCGATTGGGTTAGCGTTGTTAAACGAAACCCTAGATCGCCACCTCTCTAAAAGTCTTTTGCTTCGCCTCGTCTTCTTTCTGCAGACTTGATTCGTAAAAATCGTTTTTGTTTTCGTTGTGGAGGATCGAAACACAAGGCAAAAAATTGCAGAGATACTATTGTTTGCTTTAGATGCTAAGAAATAGGTCACGAAGCAAAAAATTGCAAATTGATTGAGCATGGTAATGTTAGATCTGATAATAGAGGGCGTGGCTTTGGAGGAAGAGGATCTAATGATGGAGGGCGTAGTTCTTTTAGGGGTCATGGACCTGGAGGTCATAATAATCTGGGGGGTCGAGGCAATAGAGGAAGATTTTGGCAGGGACGAGGGGGTTTTGATCCTAATCCCTGGCAATGGCGCAGGGAAAGATCTGCTTCAACCTTTTCTTCTTCAAAAAAGCAAGAGCCTTTACAGCAGGACAAAGGTAAAAGACCTCTGGCTTCGGTAGATGAAGAGAAATTACAAGAAAATGTTTTTCATTTTCAAGATCAAGGTCCGAGAAATTATGGAGATCTGGAAGCTGAATTGAAGATTTTAGGTGATCGTCCTCGTTTCTCTTCTGATGTCTTAAGTTTCGAAGGAGAAGTTAACTCTAGTTTTCAGAAGTTCAGGAACTTTGCTATAGTTTCTTTTGTTGAAGGGGGTAATATTTCTTTAGAAAGATTGGAGTTAGATTTGAGGGCTTATTTTCCTATGAACAAGCATTGGGATGTGAGGTTATTCACTAATGGTGAAGTCTTGGTTAAAATACAACCGTGGAAGCAAATGGATGATTTGATAAGAATGGGGGTAATAAATCTGTGATCCTGTAAAATTAAATTTAGAAGATGGAGTGCTTGGTGTTTTCGTCAAAAGTTGATTTTGTTATGGAATTCATTATATCTTCGGTCGATTACAATAAATTCGAAAGAGATAGTTTTTTTATAAGACTTCTTTTACACAACAAAATGAAAATTACAACTCTTAAAAAAATAACACAAAAATCGTCTATCGATTCTTGTTTTGTGGGACTTTGCCTGTGCCGGGAGTGCTTTGACTCGTGGACCGCCGAATCACAGATCGTGAAGGGGGCTTAATGATTCTCCCTTCGTTTATCGAAGTGAGAATTTAAAGTGAATATCTTATCAAAGTAAGATGATCACTCTTCTTAAGATCAAGTCAAAGCTCGAATCTCAAGGAATTGCCAGAAGCTCAAGTACTCTGCTCTATCTGCTCCAAAAATGCTCAGCCAATGCTGTCTGATCCGCCCTTCAAAAATCGATTTCAGGGGGTATTTATAGCCTCCAGGAACAGTTAGAGGAAATGTGTCCGCCAGACAGCATTTGCTGTCTCGGC